CTACTAGTTCTCCGAACTACTCAAAATTTCCACTACTAGTTCTCCGAACTACTCAAAATTTCCACTATCGGTTCTCCAGAACCTGTCAGAACCTGCTGGGTTTCACCCCTGGATGTATCCCTTATTCATTCTTTCATGGAAAGCTTTTCAGCGAGTGAAGGGGACTGAATTGAAAAGGGATGTTAATAGGCAGACATATAACCAGAATGATGACAAGAAAACAGGTTACTGGGTCTCAATAATTCCCAAGTCTTTGCATCAACTCCAAGCAGGATCTTGAGCTGCTGTTCTTTTAATCCCCATTATCATTGTCTCCGTCTCTCCATGTGCGCGAAACCATACCTTGGGGAGATTTAAAAACAATTTGGGGGCCTGAGAGACAGCAGTGAAAGCAGAAGATCTATAACCATGGTTGGATGGATTGTGATTGATATTGTTATTTTTCAAATCTGAGTCCTGAGATTTGGAAGAGATACTGTTTGGTTTTGATCACAAATTAACAATGAACTCTGGGAAGATTACAAATGGGATGCCATGGTAAGAGCCACAGAAGCATCCTCATTGGACAGAAAGAATCCTTGCCTTAGAACAGTGGTAACCAATTAGTGATCCCTGGACCGCGAGAAAGTTTTGGTGGTCCGCAGAAAAATTATTTGCATTGTTTATATTGCACTAAATCAGGAGTCCTCAAACTACGGTCCCTGGGACAGATACGTGCAATGAACGTTTGTGTTGCTGCAGAGAGTGTCCCACTTCGGGGTCTTTTTGTGCGGGTTGGGAAAATTCCAACATGGGGTCTGCTTCAGCCTCCCTGTGCGGGGCTTTGGACGAAGGCTGGAGGGAAGTGCCGTTGGTGGTGAAGAGCCGGAGGGCCTTATTCCAGTGGGACTGCAACATGGCCTGGAACTGGCTGACCATCTCAGCCCATTGAGCCTCCAGGTGCCAGTACCTGGCTTTGAACTCCCACAGGTCTTCCCTCTGCTTGGAAACCCTATGCTCGTAGTCCTCAGTGAGGTGCTTCTGCTGAGCCTCCTTCTCGGTCAGATCCAATTTGAACCGAGCCAGCTGTTCTGCCAACTCTTTCTCATGGTGGCTGCTTAGCTCCAACAACTGCTTCCTGTTGGAGCCCTAAGGAGCTCGGGTGGGCAGGCGAGGAGTGGCTGGGAGGGAAGGGGTGAGTAGAGGCCGGTGAGGCTCCCCTCAATGGGAATGACACAGAGGTGGATTGCCAATTTCTTTACTACTGGTTCTGCTGCGCTCCTGCGCATACTTCTGCACATGTGGAGAAGCGTCCGGGCGGGTAAGCGGAGCCTCCCGCTGCCATTACTACTGGTTTGGCCGAACCGGCAGCAACCCACCTCTGGAGTGACCTCAAGTTGGCCATGCCCATCCGGTCACATTAGCACCTTGCCTTGTTCTTACTATCAATAAGAACAAGGTTTCATTGTTGTATCCTACTGATTTAAAAATATGGCTGCATTATCCACTTTGGGAAAATACTAGAATCAAATTAAAAGGTTCACATTGTTGAATACCCAATAAATATTTTATGAATGGCCTTTACCGTTATTTATCTATAGGCAATAAAGACGTTTTAGTCATCCTCCCTCCAACTGTAAATATTTATATAACATTTCTGTTTTAGGATAATATTCTATGTATCTGAAATGGACATGTTGTAATAATTATGTTGGTCTTTCAGATGCCATTGTTTTTAGTCATTTTTGTGGCAGTGGGCAGTCCTGACTAATTTTGGGGAAAGTTCATTTATTTTAAACACTCCAGCTAAAGAATCCTTTTTTTCTTCTTCTTCTTCTTTCAGCTCCAGGGTTCCTTGAAGAGAAAATTGGTGGTCAATCTGACACCAGGAAATAATAAGAGATCGAATGGCATTGCTGACAACACTTTCCTGGACATTAAGAGAATCCGAGGTGGGGAAAACAACCTTTCCATGGGACGTGGTCAGTGTGGCAACAGTTGCCCAAACCCGTCAGTGTTGGGATCATTCTCCGTTGGCCAAGGTGCTCCAAGGAAAATGGACAACTCAACCAGCAACAGTCATGCTGGTGCAAACGGGATGTTCAACATGACTCTAAAAGAGGTCAAAAAGGAACCTGGGGAGACCATCTCTTGTAGCAAACATATGGATGGTCAGACGTCCCAGAACAGTGTTTATCCTAACCAATATGGGGAAGACACAGGGGAACAGTTGATGGACCCAGAACTTCAGGAGCTATTCAACGAACTGAGTAATATTTCTGTGCCCCCCATGAGCGACCTTGAGTTAGAGAACATGATAAATGCCACCATCAAGCAAGACGAGCCGTTCAACATTGACATCGGTCAGCAGATCCAGAGAGGGCCTCCTGCCCCATCATCTTCCCTGCAGGTGGACAAAATGGTGATCAAGCAAGAGTATTCACCGGGGTTGAGCCAAGCTTCAGTGGGATCCCCTCAGATGAGGCCTCCTTCTACAGACTCGGCTTACACCATGCCTGGTGCTGCTATGTCCACCTCGTCTCCCATTCCTTCAGTACCTCAGACTCAGACGCCTCCTTCTCAAGGGACGTCGGTCCCCACTCGGCCGCTGGCCAACTGGCAGGAGGTTTCCCATGCCCAACAGTTAAAACAAATAGCAGCCAACAGGCAACAGCATGCCCTGATTCAGCAGTGCCAACAAAGTCAATCCGCCACATCCTGGCCTGGTTTGTCATCTACGGAACCATCTTCTGGATCCTTTGTGCAGGAGAAGATGTCTAGTCCGTCCTTTCACCAGCAGCAGCAACAGTTCAGCCCACAAAATTCCGCAATGTCCAGCATCCCAGTCAATGGGACTCCATCCAAAGGCATGAACAGTTACTCCTACCGGCCCAACTCCATGCCCCAGGGAAGTTCCGTCAACATGGCAATGCCCCGAAAGCCTCAAGACATCCCCAGAAATTACGTCGGCAACAATCAGGTGTCGCTGGAGGAATCTCAGAACAGCATCAAGCCTTTGTTTCATTTCACCTCGGAGCAAGCCAACAAGCAGATCTCTTCTGGCTTGGGAGCTCCAAATAAACCTTCTCTTCTCCACTACGCACAGCAGCCTCCCCAACAGTTGTCTAACTCAGCGGTTCAGCCACAGACTTCGCAGCAGCAGCAGCAGCCGCATTCTGGCCAACCTCAGCATCTCCAAAGGCCCCCCAACGTACCCTTGGCTTTACAGCAAAAGATCCTGCTCCAGAAAATGCTGCAGAACCAACCCGGTGCAGCGCTGCAGTTCCTGGGCCCACAGAATCAGATGGTAAGATTTTTCCTCCTATACTTTTCTTTTCTCGCCCGTCGTATCGGGGGTCAGTATGGGCATCTTTTAAAATGTGGAAAACTCGCACGATGCGTTACTCGGTTAGGGAGGCCCCGTTGTCTGCCCTGCTTCCTTTCAGGTTCTGGGCAACAAGAATGGTTGAAAACAGGCGTGAGATTCAATTTTTTTTACTACCGATTGTGTGGGTGTGGCTTGGTGGTGGGATCCTGTGACAGAGTGGGCGTGGCCTACTTGATGTGATTAATGGTCACGCCCACTCGGTCACATGCCCCCATCACTACCAAGCCCTACGAACCCCCGGAACCCACACCTGTGCATGTGTACTAACGTGGGCATGCACGAACATGCGCATGCGCAAATGTGTGCATGGCAAAGACCCAAAGACCAGCTGGCCAGTGGGAGACAGGGCATCCCAGCACCGGCAGAATGGCAAGATCTTTTTCTTTTGAGAACTTCTGTTTCGTCATTTGCAGGGAAACAGAAGCTCGCGAAAGAAACACCATGGCGATCTGACCTGAGGCGATGGCATATATGTCAGCAACAGGGGTGGGTTCCTGCCAGTTCTAACCTCTTCTATAGAAGAGGTTCCACAAATCTACAGTGCCCTTTAAAACCGGTTCCAGCTCCCTTCCCCTGCCCGTCCACACATCATCAAGATGAAGAACAAGAGGAGGAACTCTGGGAGTTGAAGTCCACAAGTCTTAAAGCTGTCAAGTTTGAACACCTCTGGGGTTTTTTTTCCTAAAGGGTTAGGGGTGCCAAGGGTCTTGTAACTTGACAGCTTTAAGACTTGCGTGCTTCAAATGCCAGTTTCTGAGCCAACATTTTGGTTGCTAAGCAAGAGCTTTGTTAAGTGGGTTTCACCACATTTTACAAGTTGGCCATGCCCACCCAGTCACATGACTGGCAAGCCACTCCCACCCGGTCACATGGCCGACAAACCATTCCCACCCGGTCACATGGCCAGCAAGCCACCTCCCAAATAGCAGGCCAGACCTACAGAAGAGGTTCAAAAAAAATTTGAAACCCACCACTGGTCAGCAGAGAAGACTCTGCGTGCCACTTCTGGTACTTTTGTGNTTCTTCTTCTTCTTCTTTCAGCTCCAGGGTTCCTTGAAGAGAAAATTGGTGGTCAATCTGACACCAGGAAATAATAAGAGATCGAATGGCATTGCTGACAACACTTTCCTGGACATTAAGAGAATCCGAGGTGGGGATAACAACCTTTCCATGGGACGTGGTCAGTGTGGCAACAGTTGCCCAAACCCATCAGTGTTGGGATCATTCTCCGTTGGCCAAGGTGCTCCGAGGAAAATGGACAACTCAACCAGCAACAGTCATGCTGGTGCAAACGGGATGTTCAACATGACTCTAAAAGAGGTCAAAAAGGAACCTGGGGAGACCATCTCTTGTAGCAAACATATGGATGGTCAGACGTCCCAGAACAGTGTTTATCCTAACCAATATGGGGAAGACACAGGGGAACAGTTGATGGACCCAGAACTTCAGGAGCTATTCAACGAACTGAGTAATATTTCTGTGCCCCCCATGAGCGACCTTGAGTTAGAGAACATGATAAATGCCACCATCAAGCAAGACGAGCCGTTCAACATTGACATCGGTCAGCAGATCCAGAGAGGGCCTCCTGCCCCATCATCTTCCCTGCAGGTGGACAAAATGGTGATCAAGCAAGAGTATTCACCGGGGTTGAGCCAAGCTTCAGTGGGATCCCCTCAGATGAGGCCTCCTTCTACAGACTCGGCTTACACCATGCCTGGTGCTGCTATGTCCACCTCGTCTCCCATTCCTTCAGTACCTCAGACTCAGACGCCTCCTTCTCAAGGGACGTCAGTCCCCACTCGGCCGCTGGCCAACTGGCAGGAGGTTTCCCATGCCCAACAGTTAAAACAAATAGCAGCCAACAGGCAACAGCATGCCCTGATTCAGCAGTGCCAACAAAGTCAATCCGCCACATCCTGGCCTGGTTTGTCATCTACGGAACCATCTTCTGGATCCTTTGTGCAGGAGAAGATGTCTAGTCCGTCCTTTCACCAGCAGCAGCAACAGTTCAGCCCACAAAATTCCGCAATGTCCAGCATCCCAGTCAATGGGACTCCATCCAAAGGCATGAACAGTTACTCCTACCGGCCCAACTCCATGCCCCAGGGAAGTTCCGTCAACATGGCAATGCCCCGAAAGCCTCAAGACATCCCCAGAAATTACGTCGGCAACAATCAGGTGTCGCTGGAGGAATCTCAGAACAGCATCAAGCCTTTGTTTCATTTCACCTCGGAGCAAGCCAACAAGCAGATCTCTTCTGGCTTGGGAGCTCCAAATAAACCTTCTCTTCTCCACTACGCACAGCAGCCTCCCCAACAGTTGTCTAACTCAGCGGTTCAGCCACAGACTTCGCAGCAGCAGCAGCCGCATTCTGGCCAACCTCAGCATCTCCAAAGGCCCCCCAACGTACCCTTGGCTTTACAGCAAAAGATCCTGCTCCAGAAAATGCTGCAGAACCAACCCGGTGCAGCGCTGCAGTTCCTGGGCCCACAGAATCAGATGGTAAGATTTTTCCTCCTATACTTTTCTTTTCTCGCCCGTCGTATCGGGGGTCAGTATGGGCATCTTTTAAAATGTGGAAAACTCGCACGATGCGTTACTCGGTTAGGGAG